AGCGTATGTGTAAGAAGAGAGAAAATGCACGTAAATCAAACCACCAGATGGCTATAACCCCGCGCAATCTACAATAATTATCTGCCTGAATCGACGGCAACATACAATCATTTTTGGTACTCTCTCGTTGTCCACATGGCAGGCAGGGGTACTTTGTGTTGCTTTATTGACGAATTCAGTAAGCAAGCCGAGAGGGGATAGAACGTGTATACATGCACCCTTGTCAAATATCCCTGCACGATTATTCTGCACCCTCCTATCTCGCCCTCGTTACGTATATATTTATTTTCGATTACATTTCATTTAATGAGTGATGAACGAATTTCTTTCGACGATAATCTTTTAATAATCATTAATCATTCGTGTACAGAACCTCTCCGAGTCTCTTGTTTTATTCTTTTGTCGTTTTCCTCAAATTGTTGTACAAACAATTTTGCATTCCAATTTCGTCCATTTATTATCATTGAATTTTGCATTCGATCGTTGCGACTCGATATAAACGAGAATATGTAAAGTATATATCGTTCGTTAAAATTTTGATTTCTCCTCGATTCGTAATCATTTTTACTGTAACATAAAAATAATAGAAAGTATAACTTAAGATTCTTCACAACGACAATAATCTTGTGTCGTACAATAATATATTTTTCATTGTTATTTCAAATATTTTAATTTTTCACTGCACTGTCGAATTTTCTCTCCGATTTCTTATTTGCAAGAGAATATAAAAAATTATAATAAAATTTTACTAGATACTTTGGTGTGGGGATAAAGAATTTATCAACATAGAAATGGTATAATTCCCATATGGTATTATTATTCCCCTCTGTATGACCATGTTGTTTACATTCCCTCGCCATGCGGACATTCAATTTTACATTGAAAGATTTACATTTTTCAATGCCATGTTAGAATATTGTTTTCTTTCCTTTCTTCTTTTCTTCGTCTTCTTCTTTGTCTTTTCTTTCTTTCATTTTTTTTTCTTCTTCTTTTTTTTTCTTCTTTTCTTTTTCTTCCAACTGACTAAAATATGAAGATGAAATATTTTCATTACTGTAATAAATTTACTAGTTCATAAAAATTTATCGAGCTTCTCGTATCATAATGTCGTACTCATAACAATGGAACAATCATCCACGTCTTTAAAATATTTTTATAGCAAATAAACTGCGCGAATTTGAAATTGATAAAACAAAACTAAGCGATTGTTCGTATCGAATTAATCGAATTACATTAATAGACATCTGAATTTCTCAAAGTAATATATTTTGCATTTAGTCACCGGGATTTTTTATGGAAAGTTTTAGTAGTTTCATATATTATACAGCATCTTGTATTTAAAAATCCGAATAACTTTTTCTATTTCACTATATCATTTTGTTTTTTTTTATGATTCATGATTTGTTCGGCGACTAGTTTGTCGCCTCAAATCTCCAAGTTGACACTCTGGATTGTCAATTTATTGTCTCAATTTTTTCTCATTTTATAATATTAAAATCAATGCTGATTAATTTTTTTTTTTTTAAAAATAGCTTATCTTATATTAGAATATCGAATTTTTTGGCTACAAAAATAAGAATAAAACGATTCTTATGATTCTTAATAGTTTTTCAAATAAATCGCTGACAATTGTATTTAATTAAATATAATAATGACAAAATACTAAACGAAGGTATTATTTATAATTTTTGTATAATTTACAATAATAATATGTATAGAATCATAAACATTTTAATCGATCATTTAACATTATTTATTCAACCACAAAATTTTTAATTATTAAATACATGCTAAGTTTAAAATTATTTTACTCGCAGCAAATTTTAAAGCTATAGAAATACATTTAATAAGATAATTGTATAAGAATAAATTGTAGAGAGTTAAAAAAGAAAATCGGGAGACCGTCGATCAAATATTGAATACGTAATTGATTAAAGAGTAATTACATAGGAGCGTATACAGAAACTTAAGCAATTGTTGTATATGCAATTGTATTGTTTAAATTTCAAGATAATTTATTACTTAGATACTTGATTATTAATAAATATTTCATAACTAATGGACTTTTAAATAATAACTCAACATAAAAACTATAAAATAACAAAATCATTTTTATCCTAATATTAAATTTTATTGCACGTTTAATTTTTAAGTTTGCTTAATGGATTAAATAATTTTCCAATTAAAGTGAGCAATATCGAACATTTAAAATATTCAATGAAAATAAACGTTTAGCATTAATTTTATAATAATAATAATAATAATAATAATAATAATAAATAATAATAAATAAATAAATAAATAAATAAATAAATAAATAAATATATATATAAATAAATAAATATATAAATAAAATAATGTTAATTTAACATCGTTTGAACGTATACGCTTTATAATAATTTAGCAAAAAAAACCTATTGAAATTCGTTTTATTTAATTACGTATTTTAAATTTAGCTTTATTAAATTGAATCCATTACGTTTGATTTGTAGAGCATTTATCTGTAAATTTATTTCATGATAACAATTAGGGTAATATTCATCGTCTCTGTCTATCTTAAATACATCTCTCCGTCACCTACTATGTAAGCAGATAAATGTGCTACTTCTGCTTGCGAGTATTAACAAAGTCCGTTATGTTATGTTGTATAATACTCATCTAAATGTCCGAGTGCATGCACGAGAACAAAGTTATATCAGCGAAATGTAGAGATAAGAATAGATAGCAGTATTAAACTAACGCCTATAAATTACCAAATGATAAGGAAGAAGCGAAAAACTCTCACGGCCAACTGTTGTTGGGCGCAAATTTTAAATTCTACCTTCACATGCAATGAATAATTATCGTAGAGCCTTAATTAAGCGCCGTCTCTTTCTATTAAGCATTACTTAACTGCCACTTTTTTTTTTTATAGCCTCTAACTTTCTTATTATTCAACGACGTTTACAGTCATGCCAAATATTTTTTAGAGCTACAACATCTGTTTGATCGTACAAAATGCAAAAGTTAATATTTGACGTTCGATTTTGTTCATTATTATTTGGTATTCTGGTATATTTCCGTTGTATTGAGTATCGATCGATATGCTTCAATTTAAAATTAAATTTTGCTAGAAGTTTGCTTAGCCTCTGTTCTATTAATAGAATATTACATTTAGCTCAAATGATTGAATATTGTTGACATTCGTAAAAATAATGTTTGTAATATAATGATTTTTTTATAGTAAGTACTTAAGTGGTTTCGTCGTCATCGTCGTCATAGTCGTCGTCGGCGTCGTCGGCGTCGTCGTCATCTACGTCATCATCGTCATCATCGTCATCATAGTCATCATCGTCATCTTCGTCATCTTCGTCATTCTCGTCATCTTCGTCATCGACGTTATTATTGCTGTCGTTGTTGATGCTGGTGGCAATGATGATAAATACGACGTCGACGATAAGAGTAATAATAATGCTATTGACAGGCAACGTAAATTCCCCGTTCCTTTAATATATTATTATTAAATAATTTAATTAAAATTAATTATTAATATAAATCAACATTTTCGTAAATCCCTATATTCATCTATCGTACGATATAAATGTAATATAGTCAGACTGTTAAATATCGGAATTTAATATAAAATAATATTACCTTAACGAGATTGCTAATAATGATAAATAATAAATAAAGTTAAGGCATTTGTCGAAGTCGTTGCCATATATCGCTTTAGTAGGTTGTGCACTGATCCAATTTGATAATTGCAAAAGCGACCGTCAGATGGCACTAGTATTTAATCTACCGAATCTCCTAATATTATGTGGAATTTATTTCGAGATAATCGTAACACACGCATTATTGAACTATTATATTAACTATTATTCATAGGAAAATTCGAAAATAATCCAGCCAAGAATGTTTTTTAAAATTTACCCGATAATGAATGGCAAAATGCAATAATTATGAATTTTAATTAATTCGACAGACGAATTTTATACAAATGAATAAATCTACTTGTGGTCGAAATATTAATTTCACGCCAGATTCCTAAACATTCACGGTAAAAATATCGAATGTAATTTAATAAATGAAAACTTAAAATAATAATATAACCTGCTTATATCATATATGTAATTCATATGCAGAGTAGATCCGAAAATATAATAAAATAATGGCCACATATCTACATGTAAGGCTGTAATTTAGTCAACTTACTTATGAATTGCTAGATCAATCAAGTGGAAACTTGATTGTAGCTGATGGATGGTATGTGTGATTACTGCTTGCAAATAATGTGGTTCAATAACATTTTTATCATGCAACAATTTCACTCAATAGCTCCAATAAGATTGTAAGCCTTTCAATTAAAATATTAAATATTTATAAATAAATCATTAGGTTGTTCATTTATCGTAAATATTTATCGAATAAGCATGTGCGCAGCAATCAATTAGGCCGTTAATAGAAGAATAAATCTTATCAAATGGGAATTTAATTGACTGTACGCCAGATTATTCACGATGTTAAATTATTATTATTATTCTACGCTCACCCAACTCGTTTAAATAACAAAATTAGTTCTTGTAAAATATAGGGTTTCAAACCAATTAGTCTGCACAGATTTTTATAAATAATCGTATTATTATATATTGGTTTATATCGATCGAATATTAATTTCGAAATAATAGCCAATTAAATTGTGGAGTAGAGTGATTTTTGTCACAATCAAATGTAATAATACGAATTTTCCTCTATTTAAAGACGAAAACATGATGTTATTATAATGAAAGTTATTGAAACACACCTTTACAAAATTTGAAAATAAATAATAAACGACATCTTTATGAATTCAAATTAAAACGATCGTACATTACCATTTTTATTAAAATATTAATTTAATAATTAATTATTTATAATTATTTATATATGTTTGTGCATGTATTTATTCTTATAATTATATATAAATATTAAAATGTTATGAAACGAAATCACCTAGGCTGGGATATTTTCACACAATTTTTCAATAACTCAAGATTTTTCAGAATCATGTATTCTATGTGATATTGATACTTCGCTATTGTAAAAAATAAAAATTTGTTTAAGTAAATTTAAAAAAAAGTAAAAGGTACAATTTTAAAATGCTAATTCTGCATCAGAATTAATTTATGAAAAAGCATTGAAATGCATTACATGGCGAATGCATTAGCAGCGAAGGACTTGGATTTGATTGAAAGAAAAAAAATGAGAAAAAGCATTTAACAATATTGTTATGTTGCCAATTGAAGCTTCGCTAAACGCGAACAAAATTCAATGTTTTTAAATTAAAAGTAAAGAACAGATCGATGTATGTGTGCACGTGCACGTGTAAATGTAGAAAACAAAAAAGATGGATGAGAGGTAATAGAAGTCTGGGGAATAAGACCTGATATTGCATTTTAAACGATAAAACTCTATCGATGTAATATAAGAAAAAAATTTTAAAAAAAATAATCGCTCCACCGAAAGACCACAAAGATAATATAACAATAGAGAAAGTGAGCATATGTGAAAATCGATATACATCAATTGAAGTGGAGCTCGTAATTGTTTCGTCTTCGACTAGTGATTAAAGGTAATGGATCTCTTGTTTTTTCTTACCTTCTTCCTATTTTAGAGGAGACACATCCACCGCGTATTTATTTTCCCAGTAGTCACTCGAGCATCAATATATATATATATATATATGTATAGTTTTTTTTTGTTTATGTCAGTTGCGGTGACATACTTGTTTCGATTACATGTAGATGTGTACGCGAGCTTCCTCTTCTGGGTATTTTTTTTATTTTTTATTTATTTATTTATTTATTTATTTTTTTTTTGTTTTGCTTACACGTGTATCTCATTACCCCGCAGGAAGAAAATCGTATTACGAAATCGTTTTTTTTTTACGTTGAAATGATTTTATTACGCTCACATGGCAAGAGGTTAAGATATCTTGTCATCTACGTAATTATATTATTTTCCCTAATAAACGATTATGCACAAATTTACCGATATTCATTAAACATACTTAAACATTATATTTTTAGTTATACCATAACCTAGCGCTCGCATAATATTTTAATGCAACTTTTCGATAATATTTCGATAATAATTCGTTTCATTAAATATATAAAACACCTGCATCCAACATTCAATCGATTATTATGGATTTGGTCGATAAATTATTATTTCAATTCTTTTCGATTCTACCTTCGAGGCTAATCCATTACTCTTGTATTATATACATAAAACTCGCCTTAATAATACATTATTATCGTGTCTAATAAAAGACATAAAGAAAAAATTTGTAAAGACTATCGCCATTCCCTATCCCGATAAAATTTAGCTACCAAAGCAAAAACCTTTTAACTTCGCCTTACAAATAATTATAATCAAACGACATTGCGCTTCCACAGTTTATTTCATATGGCATCCTTATAATCATCTCGCAACGAACATTAAAATCGATTAAGATTTCATAGAACTACAGATTGCTTATAGAAAAGTAAAATGCGTAGATTTTCAAGTAATGTCACTTGCCGCTCGTATTGACGTGCAATTTCTCAGATAATCAAGGAAGCGATCGATTTATAATAGATCACCCAGGGAAATCCTCGAACCGAAGGCTCACCGCGCCTTGACAAGTTTTAAAGCTTCGATAGCTTCGAGGTTGTCATCGTTAAGCATCGATTAAGAGCTGCGAGTCACTTGAGCTTAGAGTCAAGTTAATTTTTGTCTTGATGGGGTTTTTTTTTTTTTTTTTTTTTTTTTTTTTTTTTTTTTGTTTTTGTTCACGGGGATCGAATATTTTCAACGATTACGCGCATCATTGGAGTAGATCTTGGTCGGATGCCCCTTATAATTCGATCGCAACGAGCTTCTCACTTTATGCCTTTTTAACGAATATTATCGGTTTCATGGATTCGGCTCGCGATTCCTCGGGACACGACCCCCGCATAAGACATTGAAATTATTTGAAAAAAGATAATATAGAAGATTTTTTAATCAGGCCGTGAAATTCTTTATTAACGATGCTCCCATAAACGTAAATAATTATTTATTATGTTTTATTTTAAAAGCAATTACAACTTTGTTTATAAATTATTGAGAAAAATGATGAGGGTATGTTGCGGTCGATTCGCAGTATAGTTAAAAATAAATTATCATAAAGGGTAAGAAGATGTTATATAGATGTTAAAATGAAAATGTTTTGTTTAATCGTGATAATAGAAAGAAGTTATAACGTTAAAATATCTTTAGCGCTTTTACAAATTTCATTTAATCTCTCCCGTTGCTAACAATTTCTGTATTACGTATCGCTTAATTATCATTTGTCAAGCATATAATACTTCAATTTATAATCTATTTAAATAAAATGTATAGCTTTATGTAGATGATTGAGTGCATGCAAATTGATTTTTATTACTCGTAAATTAAGACAAGAAATTGGCTCCAATTGTTTTTTTTTTTTTTTTTTTTTTTTTTTTTTTTTTTAATAAGGCCTTCATAATTTCAACAAAGTGTTTATGATTGTGAAAGCGTGAAAATGAATAATATATAAATAAAGTTTTTTTTAGGCATACTCGGTATTCGGTTATTATCTTCCGTTGCATCTTGGGATTCGTATAATTATATGACTCTGCTATGTTATATTTTTAATTAATAATTTTTAATGCATAATTTCGAAAAACTGGGCGAATAATGACGATTGAAGATACCAATAATACGTCCTTTTCAACGAACGACAATATCGAAAGAAATTATTTTGAAATTATTTTATTTATAATTTATATTTATAATTATTTATAATTAAATAGTGCTGTAGTCATATCATCTATATCACTCTTCATTATTTTCAATTACCATGATTATAATGATTATTATAATATTAGACAATAGCAGTGCTCGATATAGTACAATGTATAATATTAATGAACTTGTAAATTTAGTTGATTGAAAATCTTTACTGCCAAATGTTTCTTGTATTCGCCGATACATTAATAAGTTACAATGTAAACAGTCCGACTAAAAAACTAGCGAATAAAGGCAATGAAAAGAAAGAAAGAAAAAAACCCCCAAAGTGACCGTAAAAATATAAATATTATTGTATTATTTGAAAATCTATATTTCATATTTATGAATGTCGAATGGCATAAGTAATGGTATAAGATAATCTTTTTCGATACTACAGAAATCATTTGCTGCAATGAATTTTTTCATCTCACGATTAACATCATAATTCAATCAAATAAAATGTAATACATTTATATGTATTTGAATTAATCAGGAAACTCCCTTTTTCTTCGGACAGTAGCCATTGCTTTGAAACTCTATCAACTGCATCAATCACATAATAAATAAATTAATTATTTGCTGGGTAAAAGAATTAAAACACTTTTAATCTATCATACGCATGAATCAAAGCATGAAATTTGACATAATTTGCTTAGTTTAAGCAGGGCCTTGCCAGAAATTGACACTGAACATAACAATAAACAAAGCACAAAAATACAATGAAAGCTATCTAATCTATCAATTATGTAGATAAAATAATACGTAAATAAATCGTCACGATCCCACGTGCTGTGAATCAAGCAAAAATTTAATTTTTAATTACATCGTGCAAACTATAAATTTTCAACGTATTGTGCATCCTTCTTCGGTCTCTCCTACAGCCAATAACGATCCAAGCCTAAATATACGTTTGGTCTTCGTTCCCTAACTGCCGCTTGCTTACCAAAATCATCACAATATTTGAATTCAATATAAGTGGAGTCGCGACGAATGCCCAACGCACCTTAAAATGTCGCTATTTCGTCCTAACAACTATTAAATTAGTGTTACTCGTAAAGAGTGAGGCAAAGGAGCCGCGAGTAGTGTCTAATTTCACACGCGGGCGATCATGTTCGAGAGGCAAAGTCTTCGGGCTCGGTTAATTAAGAGCATTAGAAGAAATATGGTGAAAACATTGCCTCGGCAAGTTCGGCCTGAAACGATTCCGTTGAAACGGGCACGAAGATTTCGAAGAGGACGAGCTAAAGTGCGAGGCGCCACACGTGTCAGGGCTTACACAGACGTGGCGACGCTCGGCGCCTCGTGCCCCCCGAGCTAACCTCAAAGTCTCGGGAGCCCCGGGAGCCCCGGGGGTCCGGCGTCTCCAGCTCCGCGCCTGAGTCGCGACCGCGACAACGACAACGACGACGATGATGATGACGGCGATGACGATGACGACGGCGACGATTGCGACGATTGCGACGATTGCGACGATTGCGACGATTGCGACGATTGCGACGATTGCGACGATTGCGACGATTGCGACGATTGCGACGATTGCGACGATTGCGACGATTGCGACGATTGCGACGATTGCGACGATTGCGACGATTGCGACGATTGCGACGATTGCGACGATTGCGACGATTGCGACGATTGCGACGATTGCGACGATTGCGACGATTGCGACGATTGCGACGATTGCGACGATTGCGACGATTGCGACGATTGCGACGATTGCGACGATTGCGACGATTGCGACGATTGCGACGATTGCGACGATTGCGACGATTGCGACGATTGCGACGATTGCGACGATTGCGACGATTGCGACGATTGCGACGATTGCGACGATTGCGACGATTGCGACGATTGCGACGATTGCGACGATTGCGACGATTGCGACGATTGCGACGATTGCGACGATTGCGACGATTGCGACGATTGCGACGATTGCGACGATTGCGACGATTGCGACGATTGCGACGATTGCGACGATTGCGACGATTGCGACGATTGCGACGATTGCGACGATTGCGACGATTGCGACGATTGCGACGATTGCGACGATTGCGACGATTGCGACGATTGCGACGATTGCGACGATTGCGACGATTGCGACGATTGCGACGATTGCGACGACTGCGACGACTGCGACGACTGCGACGACTGCGACGACTGCGACGACTGCGACGACGGCAACGCCAACGACAACGACAACGACAACGACAACGATAACGATAACGATAACGCCAACGCCAACGCCAACGCCAACGCCAACGCCAACGCCAACGCCAACGCCAACGCCAACGCCAACGCCAACGACGACGACGACGACGACGACGACGACGACGACGACGACGACGACGACGACGTCGGAGAGGTGGGGAGACAGGACGACGACGACGACGACGACGACGACGACGACGACGACGACGACGACGACGACGACGACGACGACGACGACGACGACGACGACGACGACGACGACGACGACGACGACGACGACGACGACGACGACGACGACGACGACGACGACGACGACGACGACGACGACGACGACGACGACGACGACGACGACGACGACGACGACGTCGAGGAGGAGGAGAATGCAGGGCGTCGAGAACGGAGGGTTTGGTGCGCATTGAGGGGACGGGAGGGATAGGGAAGGGAGGACACAGAGACAGAGAGAGAGAGAGAGAGAGAGAGAGAGAGAGAGAGCACGCGGCCGCCGCTCTGCCACCAGCCTCTCGCACAGTCCCCGTGCGATTCTTGCGGTTGACGCGCCTCGTCTTAGCTTCGAAGTGCCCGCCCGGACGCGGACGTCGGGCCCACCAACGCTCTAACACTTCTATTCGTGTCTGCCAGTTATCCTTAGGTAAGTTGCTCGAGGAGCCCCGGAGGCTTCGGGGGGACTCGCGAGCTCGGCCTTCCGATGCGTCCGGACGCTTGGCCTGAGAACCTCGAAAATTTGGCGATTCCATCAGTCACCGCTGTTGCTCCCACTAGTTTGTGACACTTGTCAATTAATCATGCGAATGAATGAGTCGCTTGTATCGGTTTTCCCGTGAGCAGAGACTATTTGATAATGAGGGTACCGGAGTTAATGGGAGGGACAAGCATCCTCTGATATTTGGTTTCCCTTGCGCTTAAAAGAGAAGGGAGGATCCTTTCACCCGGCGGAAGCGCTCCTCGTTGATTATGGGAAAATCATTAGAGCGACGTTTATTTAGCCTCTGATTAATAATGTCCTTTCACATTTTCCAGACTGGAGATTTAATAGAGTTTAATTAATGCGGCCGTCACGTAAATTGAATATCTCTCGCTTACAATTAAACGAATATTTTTACTTTATTCAATTGGAGTGGTCAACTAGTATTACCAACAATCGTGTATGGTGACAGTATAATTATTAGGCGTAGCTTTCAATTAAAATGTGAGGTTTGTGAAATACTAAGTTTGGGTGTGCATGTAATTGGAAAGTAACGAAGCACCAAAGTCTTGCAAATATGTGTGTGTGGGTGGTTGGGCGGAGGGGGGGGGGGTTGCATGAATTTATTTTATAAAGATTTGAATTGTATGAGCGTTGACAATAAATATCATTGTATTTTATTCATCTCCAGTGTATATTGATAAACCGCGCCAATCCGATCATTCATTTTGATAAATAATCGTTTAACAAATAGCCCCTAACGATTGTTTAACAATTATTTGACGAAGCAAGAATCTGTACATTAAGTATTATTTTAACGCCCATTATATATGTAAATTATTTATTTATTTACAAAATCTTCGCAGCCTCGATATATTAGACTATTGGCCTTGCGCTTTCGAATGTACCTTAACGTCGGCATTCGAGCTCTTTGTCTAAATGTTTTATTTAAAGGGTCCACTACCCATGGCGCCATTCTCATCTAAATCATCGTGATACAAACTCTCGCGTGTACTTATGCAAAACCTAAACACACTTCCTTTGAAGGCTTTTTCACATCAAGTATTCTTCTTATTTACTACGGTCGTTTGTTTTGTAATACATGCATTCCCTTTCGGCGTGCTCGCTTTTGTCAACCAATGGCTCTGAAAATGTTCCTTTTGTATTTTATTACAATGGTCGGTAAAAAAAAAAAAAAAAAAAAAATAAACGAAATCCGTTAAAACGAATCGTTATAATTATGTAGTGGGTTTATTTTCTATAAATTAAGAGGAATTGTATGGAAAGGATACTCTGTGCGAAATTTACAAAGTACTTTAAACTTTTGGACTTTAGTAGATTGGAATTTCAACTGATAATGCTTGTTTTTCCTTCGATACTTTATTGCATTTCTTTTTCCTTTTCAATAACGACATTTATTAAATTTTTTTCGTTCCCAATGTCATATTGCGTTGTCTTTTCAATCGCTTCGGCCGCAACATTTCTTTAGGAATTTTTTTTTGCTTTACACAGGAAGATGACGAGGTCCTTACAAATATCCAACTTACTTTGAATTACAAATTATATCATGCAAAATAAGGTCCTCGCGTGGAAAATTAGTATATTTTGATTATAGATAATGTTTGATAGTATTTGCAAATCAATTGCCGTATAATAACTTGGCAATAAGGTTAATAATCGATGATTTTTTGTATTAATTGAAGGATATTGATTAATAATATCCATCCTATGGATAATTCAAACAGGCTTTATTTTTGTATTTGTAGAGTTTCAATTCTCTTGTTAACACTACTTATGTATTGGATGATTTCTGTTGAAGCACAAATTGTACTGGTTTAACAAAATATACGATTAAAGCAGGATGGCTGTAGCTAATCAAAAGTTGTCCTTCGTAAATAACGAAGTCAAATGTTCTAGTGCAAAAGCGAATGTCGTAGCTTCCGATTCACCATTAAAAAAACAACAACAAAAAACGGCAATAAAAGCTCAAGTGCAATAATATAAAGCGTGCTGTTTACATTGTGCCTTGTTGTTTTTTTTTATCCCTAAAATGCAATAAAAAAAGTAGTTTGCAAAGGCGACGAATAAGCCAATAGAGAGCCTTAAATGTGCATTCGTCTTAATAAAAAATAAAATAAAAAAAAAAAAAAAAACAGGGCAGTTTTAAGAAAGTGATTTAACAAGAGTTTTCCTTACACAGACCTATGTTTTATCATTTATGATATATTAATTGAGATTAAGGACAAGGCCAATAATTAGCACAGAACAATTTAGTTATCTAAGGATTTTATTTCATCTTCTATTTCAGACTTTATAATTAATGCAAGGACTTTCTCAATTACGCCTTTTAAATATAAATCTATTAGATATTTTCATCTATTTCTAATAATCATAAGTACAACAAAGATAATAAAAATGCCGATCTTTAACAAATCAGTGTTACGTTCAATTTTCCTTCTTCTATTTTTCTCTTTTTCTCATCCGTCTGATTTAACGGATTTTTCTCCTTCGATTATCCGGAAGTATTCAATTGATGAACAATTGACATCGATAATTTGAATTAATGTGATTAGCTGTTTTAACAATTTGAAAATCACTTGCTTTCATTTTTGAGTTACCTTCGAGTTTCAGCAGAAATTGTGAATAAATTTCATTGAATTTTGAAACACTTTTCGATAAATAAATATGTGACTATATATATGTACACTTATCGTAGCTGCTGAAATTAATGTACAAAAATATTTATCAATATATATTAAATTAGAAACAATGAAATTGACGCGACGAAAATGCATACAATGACTACCAAGGATAATTCCACAATAATGAATAATAAAAGAAGAAAAAACAGAATAAGATTTACGAGTGCATTGAGTTTGGTTATTACGATTATGTTCATAACCTTTATTAACGTCATACCTCAAACATATTTCCAATAAATTTTCTAATTCAGTAAGCATATTCATAAAGATCGTTTAGTATTTTATTTACGATTGCTGTGGCACACTTAAGTTATTTTTTCAAGACTAATCGTTTTATATAATGAAGCTTATCGCCATTATTTATTGTTGTTGTTGTTGTTGTTGTTGTTGTTGTTGTTGTTGTTGTTGTTGTTGTTGTTGTTGTTGTTGTTGTTGTTGTTGTTGTTGTTGTTGTTGTTGTTGTTGTTGTTGTTGTTGTTGTTGTTGTTGTTGTTGTTGTTGTTGTTGTTGTTGTTGTTGTTGTTGTTGTTGTTGTTGTTGTTGTTGTTGTTGTTGTTGTTGTTGTTGTTGTTGTTGTTGTTGTTGTTGTTGTTGTTGTTGTTGTTGTTGTTGTTGTTGTTGTTGTTGTTGTTGTTGTTGTTGTTGTTGTTGTTGTTGTTGTTGTTGTTGTTGTTGTTGTTGTTGTTGTTGTTGTTGTTGTTGTTGTTGTTGTTGTTGTTGTTGTTGTTGTTGTTGTTGTTGTTGTTGTTGTTGTTGTTGTTGTTGTTGTTGTTGTTGTTGTTGTTGTTGTTGTTGTTGTTGTTGTTGTTGTTGTTGTTGTTGTTGTTGTTGTTGTTGTTGTTGTTGTTGTTGTTGTTGTTGTTGTTGTTGTTGTTGTTGTTGTTGTTGTTGTTGTTGTTGTTGTTGTTGTTGTTGTTGTTGTTGTTGTTGTTGTTGTTGTTGTTGTTGTTGTTGTTGTTGTTGTTGTTGTTGTTGTTGTTGTTGTTGTTGTTGTTGTTGTTGTTGTTGTTGTTGTTGTTGTTGTTGTTGTTGTTGTTGTTGTTGTTGTTGTTGTTGTTGTTGTTGTTGTTGTTGTTGTTGTTGTTGTTGTTGTTGTTGTTGTTGTTGTTGTTGTTGTTGTTGTTGTTGTTGTTGTTGTTGTTGTTGTTGTTGTTGTTGTTGTTGTTGTTGTTATTATTATTATTATTGTTATTATTATTAAGTTGTAATAAATTTTATCGCTGATTTAAGAGCGAGTGTTTTGCTTATACAATAACTGCCGCGATAATGGAGATATTCTGGTGGAATAAAAAGGGAGGCGCGATGTTTCCATTGTACGTTTATGGCATTGATTAATTGTTTCTCGGTGTGTTTTAAATTTCCTGTAGACTAGCCAATATGAATAAAAGAATAACAAGACATTTCAGCGATAACGATAAGGAAGCATCGATTAGATATTGATAACATCACCTAATTGGATAAACTTTTAATAATAAAAATCATTACGTGATTTAGCGGTCGACAGAACATTTATAAACAATAAGGTAATTTTGTCTAGTGAATTAAATCAAATTCAAAATTATCGTCCAATTTTAAGTCGTGTATTTACCACGCTCGCGCGCGCGCGCGCGCGCTCGCACACACACTGTATGTCGTATATAAACAAATCTCTGTCCTTTTCGAACACATTATTTTCATCGGGCATCGTGTTAAGGCTCAAACAAGAAATACACAACATATGCCAAACGCAGGCTCAAACCTCTCAAGCACAGTGGAAAATCAAAAAATTCAACGACAGCCTCGGATTTTCGAAAGCACGTCGCGATCTTCCATCTCGTTCTCTCAAGCAGCGCTCGTTACGTCCGACTCCTTTTCCATTGGCGAGCGCCACAATTCACTGCCGGTAATTGCTTCGCTACAAGGCTGCCGTCCGACATGCTAGGAAGCTTCGATTGTTCCGAGCGGCCATTCTCGTGTTGTTTTAGCACCGAGACTCCTTGCATTTTCCTTTTGAGCTTACGGATCGTCCAACGGCCCAAGATATTAATCCTTATTGCTGAATTTTTCAGCCGCGTTTTGTTTCTCCTCTTTCTCAACCTTCTTCACACCCCTCGTCCCTCTTGTTGTCTTTCTTTCGCAAGACGAGGGTTTTACGGGGAAAAAGAAAATATTTACACGCGCAGTGGTTTGGCGAGGATCGGATCGTCATCGGCTATATAAGCAATAAAGGGAGAAAGTAATATTTCCTTGTGCTACTACTACTACTATCTCTGCCCTTGAGTATCAGCACTCGTTACATTTCTTTCGTTCGACTAGAGTTTTCGGGAGATGCCTCGTGTACGCGAATAAAATTCACAATCGAATTATTTATTCTTCGTATGGCTTGGGCACGTGGCCCAGTGCAAAATCATTCGCTTCTGATGATATTTCTTTAATCGAGAAATTAGTTATGCTACTGCATACCTTACTGCATACCGAAGGCCTTTCAAAGTAACAAAATTCTTCAAATCAATTGTGACGTACTGGCATTATTATTAAAATTTTTGCATTAATTGGCGTAGAGATGAAATAAACGTAGCTTTCCTAAATACTCGATCGCACCTCATTAAAATATTCATGCTTCTTTCAAATACACACGTCTAATATATAAATACGCTTAGTAGATTGAATTATATTAAGTTAAATATCGAATTGTCACGATTCGCAATGTCCTCTATTTTTCATTTTCATGAAATTTACAATCCTCGATTTGGAATAAATTGAATAACGTGTAAATTTTGCGTAAAAAATAAGAAACGAACTTGACCGATGAATTAATTAACAATTATTTAAATACTATTGTATCATTGTAATGGAATGAGAATTTTACACTCTCTTTTCTTTTTTCTTTTTCATTATTTCTCGTTTTTCTCTCTCAATTTACGATCGATCGCGTTGACAAGTAGCATATCGTACTTGAAAGAATTTGAAGGAGAAAATTTTGCAAAATTATTTATCGTTGCTGTAAGGAACGAGCCACGGCACATAGAGTACTATGCAATGCATTTTTACGTAATTTTAAAAATTCGAAAATCGTTGTAAAATTCTATTATTAATGCGAATATAGTCGATATAAAATTGGCTACAGCAAGTTCTTATGAAATTATATTAAAAATCCGAGAACAGGCGAATGCTAATAAAAGTAAATGCGACTTTAACTTTAACAAATTCTCAACAATTGATAACCGACAATTTGTTTCTCCAAATATCATCGCAAGCGAGGATTTCATAAAACTTAATAGTCACACAATTCCATTGAATAGCTTGAAAAAATTCTCGATATATTTAGCATTTGTACAAAACAGGTTTGATTATTCGCTTGTAAAAATAGAACGGACAACAAGTAGCATTAAAAATTGCCGCAAGCCATTTTAAACGAGGAGAATCTGCTATTGAAGCGCAAGAGTGTTGAAAAATTAATGGAAAAGCGAATGCCAGGAAACGTAAATATTATGAATGAGGCGATGTCGAGTGGTATTGATGTTTAACAGCTTTTTTCTCACACCCGACGCTATCGCGGCCAAGCCGATAAGACGAGCACCGACATCAATTATTGTCTATCAAATTTCTTAATCATCCAGTGGATGCCGCACAAATTCGAAAGGGCATTTCCATAATCGGCCAGTGTCGAGCGATCCGAACCGGAAGGACTGCTACAATCTACATTAGACGACTCTGTAATGCAATTCCGAACTCCTCAATAAACATTGAATTTGACAACGTCTTGATCGCTATTGCACGAGCTGCGACTCGACATTTACCGCCAATGGCTACATTTTTCCATGCCTCTCGTCGACGATCTTCATTTCCGTTTTCTTTATCGCCCTCGCGGGGCCCGTTTAATCGTATTCGACGCGTGAATTTTAGCGTCGCTTACGCATACGTGGAATGCACGTTTTTTCTTCATCTCAGTCATCGACTAATGCCAAATTGAACGTTAGTGGCATTGGAAAATGAGACTGATAGTTGATATTGCATTTATAATACATATTGTAGATAATAATATTTCGCATTGCGTATTTGTGCTCTGATAAATTGTCAACCGCAGTATTTGTTATAGATATTTTGAATTATCTTTACAAGAAATCGTTAAATAAAGTTGAAATTTATATAGATAAATAATAATAATAATAATAATAATAATAATAATAATAATAATAATAATAATAATAATAATAATAATAATGGCTCCCGTTTCTTGAGTTAAAAGTTTACTTATTTATTTTGTTCTTAATAAATCATTTAAATAAAATTTTACAAAATTTTTTATGCGCAATAGATGCATTTGTTTTCCAAATCTAACACGCCCGTAAACTCGACGTCGTTCAATTATAAAATGTAGCCAATTAAACATAATAGAATATTAGCTATTTTATTTTTTGACAAGTCGTTTAACGGACGGGTGCACATCGTCGTATCTAAATGACGAACACTCGTTCGTCAAGGTTACAGGAGAAAATCTTAATGTATATTAAGATTCTTATTGTGCATTAGAAGAGAGACGTTACCGTAGAGATTTTATAAACTACGGATTGGTCGTTTTGAATAAAATAGGAAATTTTTGTAAATTGATATTATTATAATATCGAGGAGCGATTACCGTAGAGCGAATTACCAGCATTCAATAACTATTAAGAAAAAATTGTCATCTATCCATGGCTAACCCATGGCCGCCTATATGTATACTGTTCCAATAATTCATTTAATGATTGTTAATAATAATTAAAGTTTATGAAAATGATCGTTTGCAGAAAGTTTTTGCTCGTGGCAACTGTCAACAATGGAGGGCAATTTGTCGGAATTCGAGGAGAACGTTTTGTTTGACCTGGACGATCCAGACTTTGCACCTGCTGTGCCACGGACAACCGCCCACGGGGTTTTTCACGGGATGAAATTTGCCGCCGAAATCGCCTTGAATGTCAACAAATGTAAGTAATTAATTTCGGTGAGCACAATTGCGTGACTATCGTGGGCGAACCATCTTTAGATTTTATTGTTGTTGTTGTTTTATTTTTGTTTTATCTTCGAACGACGAATCTTTTTACGCTCGCTGATATTTAATGCTGATCGATAGCACTGAGTTATAAAAAAATAATAGCGGGGGCAACATTATTAGGAAATTCTCAACGTAAAACACTCGATCCGGTCAATAAATTTGGATTGCTTCGGTAAGCATGGGGATTCGGTAACATGGCTGAATTTTCGTAAATTTACAAACGAAAGGTAGACAAAAAGATATATTGCCTTTATTATTACATTTATTGTTTTCTGTGTACTACGAGCTTGAAGGTTTCGACATCAGTTTTCCCTTGCTAGTAGTTTTTACACCATAAAAGAATGCGTTGCTGTTGGCCTCTAAAATACAGGTTGAAATAATAATTTTCAACCGAGCAGTGCTTCAATAAATAAATAAATAATAATAAAAAAAAAAAGAGAAAAAAAATAATGAAAAGCAATGCAAAATGAAACGAAACGAGACCACTTGAATTTTTAATAAATTGGGTAATATATTTTAAACGAATGTTAATTTCATATTAAAATCTTTCACATACGATAAATATATTTATAAATATATAAATTTATAAAGATTCTAAAACCGTTCGCTTCTTATGAGAATCGAACGTTTAACAAATTTAAATCGCTTACGTAGCCGTCTAATGTAAAGCAAAAGAAATTTTACAAATTACTGTAGCAGCATTGGCCTCCACTGAATAGAACTTAATTAAATATATGCATATTAATATATTTAGCAGGTAAAACGAGAGAGAGAGAAAACAAGATGAAAGACGTAAGACAAATGGAAAAAGATGTAAGGGCATGCTTTAGCAGATCGACTAATACGTTAATGATGAAAAATGATTAATTATAATAATATATCCTTTTACTGCATAAATACCAATGGATAATAAGTACATTTTTAGTTTGAAATAGGATGAATGGCGATGCTCTCTTAGCGCTTTAGAATAAAATGTATAATTGCAAATTAAATTATTTAATTGAGCAGCTTAAAAATGTTTTAAAGTATGAGTTAAAAACCATTAAGAATGTAGCAGTTATTTCAGTTTTTGAATGCAATTTCAATAAAATCAGAAACGTCGAAGTTAAAAAAAAAGAAAAATGAAAAAAGAAAAAAGAAAAAACCCCTAACTGACACTTCGACGTAGAAAACAAGAAGAAGAAAAATTAACTTTCGTTAGAAGAAAACTTGCAACTTTATTACTATTGGAAATAACAACTTTTCTTATTATTTACTGCCAAGGTTGGAAAGAAGGATAAGTTGTCGAATCCGTTTTTACTCGACAGTTTCTTCTGCCTCGAAAACTTGTAAAAACGAGTATACGATATACGTCGGAATGAGTGGAATCTCCGTCGGGGCCAATCAGTGGCTCGGCAAATTCGTGAATGGGAGCCTGGGCAAAAAGTTCATCGACCCCTGGGAATTCACATTGAAATATCTTATGCGTAGCAGAATAATGTGAGTGTAAAAAAAATTTTGGTCCGCCTGGGATTCCATGGATGACGATTCATTTATCCGATTATCCGCATTAAATTTCCAGGGGTGTTCGAGCGAATAAAGCATATCTGCGACCTTAACTCTTAGTGCACATACTTCCGTTCGATTCACTCGAGCAAAGATTAAACGCACCTGGAGCTTTCATCGGTGACGTTAGAATAAAGACAAATTCAAGGAATGATCGTTAAATTATGAAGGGAAGACACGATAGATGATTTGTTAAGTGGATAATTTTGTAGTAATCCAACTGGTTTGCATTGCTTTTAAACTTGAACGGATTAATAAAATTTTTGTCGAATCACTAGGTAAAAAATATCTCACTCTATGTACAAAAGTCACATCCATCTTCCGTTTTTTCTCCTTCATTTTTTTCTCCCCAGACCGGAAGTTACAAGAAGATCAGAATAACTTTTAATAAACTGGGATACATAAGAGGCCGAGTTTCATGTGTTAACCACGTCCATCTACATTATTTTAACGGATAATGTAGTCAATAATAAAAGCTCGTTCCTTATTTAGTAGAACGGCGTAATTAAATTTAACTAATTAGAGAATCGCTCACGAAATTTCATTTACAAAATAGTTGCTCTAATTTTTCTTTTAATCTTATTCAGCTTAATTTTTCTATCAATCACAATCGTTGATTAAATGTCGAAAATATTCCACTTTTATTAAAAAAACTTATACTTTTGATCTAATTGTTCGACATGACTGTCTACTACCTCGCGCTAGTATTTCAAATAAATAAAAAATATTACTAATAAAGTTCGCTAATGTATTATTCTCGTTTTACAAAGCTTCCGATCTTTTATTAATCAAATTAATGCTTCTTTAAAACTAATAATTTTTCTTCCCTTGCATTAATTTTATATTTTGTGTATATTGAGAAAAGCATTTATAATGGATAATTATATATAATAAACCAGGCCACTAAGCAAATACGCTTGATCCATTAATAATCAATGACGTTACACGGTTTATAAAATTCTAATATAGTGATTTTATTTTCTCTGATTATATCGTATTATTCTCTGAAATTTTTCTCTGGAAATTTATTTTACGAAATAGCTAATTTTCATGATTTATTTATGATGTATGGTTGAATAGTTGACCTTTGCTATGTTGAAAAAGTATAATCATTGATAATTACCTAAGGTAGAATGATAATAAAAGTAAAAAAAAAAAAAACATTGAAGCACGTTTAGTTCAAAGTACACAAATGTATGGTATGCGAGACATTTTTCTAAAAAATTATAATACATTTTTATGAATTGCCCCAAATCTGTTTGACACGTGGTCTGAAAATATCAACGATTCGATAATCGACATTCAACAAAATGTATAACCCATGCGACCGGATCTATTTGAGATTTACATTGATCTGCAAATAATACGACATAATAAATAAATAATTTCGCAATTCTTGATTTTAGACAAGGAATGATATTAAGCGCCGATAGGCCTAATCTTATAGTGCACATATGCAAGAGGATGATTAAGCTTTATTTTCAGATTTTCTAAAATTCGAATAAAATCAACTGTAAATTCCTTACCAAAGATTCACTGAATTTGCATAAACATCAACTTGATAAAGGCCATTTTTTTTTTTTGGTTTTGCGACGATGCTTTTGCAGAAAATACTAACCTTCTCAATGTTTTGCTGTCTCAGTCGTCGACTATTTTTCAAGGACGTTTCGACCTGACCTACTAACCTTAATGAAAAACTAACTTTTGTTATAGTAAATTTTTTTTTATTAGAATTTTTAATGCGACTAATAATCCTCGATTCATGCTCATTTTATCTTTTAAATAAATATTTAAGTAAGATGATTTTTTACGAGTATTTGTTTAGGTGCATTTAAGTATTATAATCGGCATAATTGTCAATTATTGTAAGAAATTATATCGCTTTTATAAGCTACGGTAGTAATTTTATGTTTCTTATTAAAAATATTTTTTCTTTTTACTTTTTCATTTGTAATATAGATTTATTTAAGTAAATATAGTTAAAATTAAAAAATTAATGTAAAGTTAAGCATTAATCGTGTTACACGAATATAACGATGAGATAAAGTGGAAATTTTTAGATTATTTTACTCTATAGTTTCGATAGCCTCAAATTGTATGTAAATTGTACAGGCAGTCAAGATTGACAAATGGAATAACATTATAAATAAAGTGACTTATTTTGAATTCAAATGGAATCACGCATATACTTTCAACTAGTTTTTGTGTTTTTTTTTTGTGTATGAAATAAATGCTTCTAGATAATAATAAAAACATTTGATTTAAAATTTTTCTAAGATAAAATAATGAATATATATGGGTATACAGTTTTTTTTTTTTTTTTTTTAAAGGTTTTTATATATTTTACACAAATTTAAATTTATTAAGAGATTCATTAAATACATTGGTAGTACAATGAAATAAATTGCACGAAAATTGCAATTATTTTGAATATCGATCGATATGTTAGATCAAAGCTTTTAAACATTTTAAGGTTTTTGAATTGTTTAACGAGGGATGTTAATTAAATGTTTTCATTCATTGACCATTATGTTAGCATTAGATTGTTAATTCATTACATTATTATATGTAAATGTCACTTCTTGTTTTAGTGATAAAAGAAATATTCTTATAAAACTTAAATTTAAAATCTTTATTTCATCATTTAGAAAGTACTTTATATTAATGCAGTTCGATCAGACATTGAAAATAACTGCATTTAAATTTATTTCATTTAGTCTCTCTACTTTAGTTGCATAGGAAAAAAAACATATATATACAATTATAATGAGTACAGATTGAATTCATGAATTATGCACACAAAAAAGAAACGTAAAAATGCTGGATCCATTCAGGATTTGCATAACTTACTCTGAAATACTCAAATATACTTACTCATACTCGTATGTAACAAAAGGTTTTGTTAAATGGACAATGCCTTTATAGAAAACATAAAGTGCAAAATAAAGAAAAAAACTATTCGCGTAAGAGTAATTATTTTTATAGGGAAAGTGGTAATTGAATTTACTTAATTCTTGTCGCCTCTCGATGATGCGAATGACGAAAACAAACCACACTACATCAATTTGCCATTTCGAATACAAATGTCCATTTATACATCAAAAGACTGCGACTTCTCTCGAACTGTATGCCTTGCAGGAACTCAACAGTCGTTGTTAAATCGAATTTCCGGTATTGTTGTTAAACGACTAATGGACTTTTTGTCGTTTATTGGTCCGGCTATGTCATTCATAAAATAATAGTTTATTTAACAAGACAAAATAATACTGGGAAATATACACAATTTTATTTATAACTTAGCTTATGACATACTAATTTGGAATATGCTATTTTATCTCGAAACTTATTATAAATAGTTAATAGTTAATTGAATCAGAGAACGAAAGA